TCTGAGGAAAAACAACAAACAACCCACTAATACCTTACCTCACCTCTGTTACCTGGTTACTCGTCACACTTATGTACTTTTCACCAAACCAGTTAGGCGATTTTCGTATATATCTTTCTCATGTTTCGTAAATGCAGAACCTTGCATGGAGTTTGAATTTGATGATTTTTCCTCAAGAGCTGAATTGCCCCTCGAAGTGTATTGATCACTGCAAAGAAATCGATTTTTTTTTTCTTTTTTTTTTTTTTTTTTTTTTTTTGCTCTTTAAATGTGATTTGATCGAAAGGTGTACACGTAAACACGTCTCTCTCTCTCTGTCTTTCTCTTTCTTTCTCTCTCTCTCTCTCTCTCTCTCTCTCTCTCTCTCTCTCTCTCTCTCTCTCTCTCTCTCTCTTCTCTTTCTCTCTCTTCTCTCTCTCCTCTCTCCTCTCCTCTCTCTCTCTCTCTTCCCTCCCTCCTCCTCCCTCTCTCCCTCCCTCTCTCCTCTCCTCTCTCTCCTCTCCCTCCTCTCTCTCCTTCCCTCTCTTCTCCTTCCCTCTCTCCTCTTCCCTCTCTCTTCTCTCCTCCTCTCTCTCTTCCTCCCTCTCTCTCTCCTCTCCCTCTCTCTCCTCTCTCTCTCCCTTCTCTCTCCCTCTCTCTCTCTCTCTCTCTCTCTCTCTCTCTCTCTCTCTCTCTCTCTCTCTCTCTCTCTCTCTCTCTCTCTCTCTCTCTCTCTCTCTCTCTCTCTCTCTCTCTCTCTCTCTCTCTTCTCTCTTCTCTCTCTCTCTCTCTCTCTCTCTCTCTCTCTCTCTCTCTCTCTCTCTCTCTCCTCTCTCTCTCTCCTCTCCTCTCCCTCTCCCTCTCCTCTCCTCTCTCTCTCTCCTCTCCTCTCTCTCTCCTCTCCTCTCTCCTCTCTCTCTCCCTTCTCTCTCTCTCTCCCTCTCCCTCTCTCTTCCCTCTCTCTCTCTCTTCTCTTTCTCTCTCTCTCTTCTCTCTCTCTCTCTCTCTCTCTCTCTCTCTCTCTCTCTCTCCCTCCTCTCCCTCTCTCTCTCCTCTCTCTCTCCCTCTCCCTTCCTCCTCTCCTCTCTCTCTCTCTCCTCTCTCTCTCTCTCTCTCTCTCTCTCCTCCCTCCTTCTCTCTCTCTCTCTCTCCCTCTCCCTCCTCTCTCTCCTCTCTCTCCCCCTCCCTCCCCTCCCTCTCTCCTCTCTCTCTCCCTCTCTCTCTCCTTCTCCCTCTCTCTCTCTCCCTCTCTCTCTCTCTCTCTCTCCCTCCCTCTCTCTCTCCCTCCTCTCTCTCTCCCTCTCTCTCTCCTCCTCTCTCTCTCCTCCTCTCCTCTCTCTCCTCGCTCCCTCTCTCTCCCCTCTCCCTCTCCTCTCCCTCCTTCCCTCTCCTCTCTCCTCTCTCTCTCTCTCTCTCTCTTCTCTCTCTCTCTCTCTCTCTCTCTCTCTCTCTCTCTCTCTCTCTCTCCCCTCTCTCTTATCTCTCTCTCTCTCTCTCTCTCTCTTCTCTCTCTCTCTCTCTCTCTCTCTCTCTTCTCTCTCTCTCTCTCTCTCTCTCTCCTCTTCCCTCTCTCTCTCTCTCTCTTCTTGTCTCTGTCCTCTCTCTCTCTCTCGCTCTCTCTCTCTCCTCTCTCTCTCTCCTCTCTCTCTCTTCTCCTTCCTCTCTCTCTCTCTCCCTCTCTCTCTCTCTCTCTCTCTCTCTCCCTCTCTCCCTCTCTCCCTCTTCTCCCTCTCTCCCTCTCTCCCTCCTCCCTCTCTCCCTCCCTCCCTGCTCTCCCTCCCTCCCTCTCTCCCTCCCTTCCCTCCCTTCCCTCGCTTCCTCTCTCCTCCCTAACTCTCTCCCCTCTCTCTCCCTCTCTCTTCTTCCTGCTTGCTTGTTTTGATGTTTTTTATGCATCCAACAGACTCTTCAAAACACCTACCAGCCAAGTGCTTGTGTTTGCAGAGTGAGCTGCATCGGTGCAAGAAAGTTGTTTATTTTTTCTCTCGCAGTAGGAGCGAGGCAGCATCATTGCCAGTCGTGCAGATCGTTTTGAAGTATTGCATTAATCAGGCTTTTCTTCTAAGTTGATATTAGATATAGATAATTACGACATATTGAAAAATAGGCCTAGGCGGAACATACTCATGTGAATATATAAATAAAGATATATAATATTGATTGAAATGGACTCCTTACAGTAGTAAAACTATTTATGTATGCTTAAAGACATCGCGCGTCAGTGCTTAATAAGTTGTCATAAAACTTTTTTTTCCAATAATACGATAAGACACGAAAAAGGAGACTTCATTTTTTCTCGCTCGAATTTTCAAATTTTCAGGCTGTTTATATCGATGATGCTGTAAAGAATCAACAAGAAAAGATAATAAAGCTCACTCAATATTACTCATTTTATTGAGTGAGGACACGCCATCGAGCCCGCTCCGCCCCGCTCTCGCTCGCTTCGCTCGCCGCCCGCGTGAAGGGGGTTTTGAATGTCAGAAATACTCCCCCTCTTGTTACTTAAGACGCTGTGTGACTTAAGCTTGAACTTACAAGGGAAACTCAATCGCAATAAGTAGTGGGAAACGCTGATGGTTAGGCCTTTGGAAGAGGAGAGAAAGTGGGGGAGTAAAGCGTGTGGAAGGCAGAAGCAAAGGCTGCGAATGCGGTGACAGAGCCCAGACTTGGGGATGAATTACCAATAACTTTTTTTTTATTAATAAAAAATGACATTTATATAAATTTTGTAAAATCATTACAGGTATTGCATTTAATAATCATGAAAAAATATTCGCTTAATAACTTTTTTTTTATTAATAAAAAATGACATTTATATAAATTTTGTAAAATCATTACAGGTATTGCAGTTTTATGTACACATTGCACACTATGTAAATTATGATTACTAAATCTAATAAACGCCGAATCCTAAACTCGAGCATCGCATTCGGACCATCTGCTGTATTGGTGATGACAATGGCCAAGTAGAAGTTCCTATTTACCCTGAGCGATCATATGCCTCCGTTTTCTTCGACTTCTCTTAGAAATAAACAGATGATATTCCTTCTTTTTAATTTAGTGATGCTAGGTTTAGCAGTCTAATCAAAGTGTGTCAAAAGTTTCTTAGAAATTAGAAAATATCCAGAGAAAAAAATTATAGTGAGCGAAATACATTTTTTTTCTGTAGCAGACCATTTCCCTCTTTCTTTCTCAACGATTCAGATACTCGTAAACGTCGGACTGATTGATATATGATCACTTAAAACATTGTGTGTGTATATATCTACACATTACATGTTTTTTACTAGCACGCCATCTCGCTATTTTTTTTTCTTAAATAAATAAAATATAAATAAAAACATAAATATAAAATTCCTCCAAGATTTAAAGATGAAACACAAACTGGAATTAAAAACTTGCTAATAAACAAAGCAACAAAAGCGGGTTCACAGAGCACCGAGAAACTTGTATCTGCTTACGACACATACTTTTGGTACATACAACAACTAAGTAAGTCAAAACGGCTCAAAACCCTTAATGGAAGAATGTACAAGGGAAAAAGTGATTAGAAAGGTATAAGAGGCAAACTGGGAGATAAGGGAGTTCCAGGGTCGTGTTACCCCCCCGCTCCTAACACCACCACCCACCACTCATGGGCTTCGAGGGATAAAAAGAAATCTTAAGCCTACGTACTACAGGAAATCAAACTTTAGTAAAGGGTAAAAAAAGATATTTCTCCATTGTTTGTAAATCTCTGTATGACGTTAATAGGGATGCTCATCAATACAAAAACAAAACGCTATTTTCGCGCACACGCCCAACACTGGTGGGCAAAAGATCAACAATGGCTGCTGAATCAGCTGTGAGAACGATGTCAACCTACTACAAATCTCTCGATTTAGTTGCTAAAAAACGTTATGATGAAAAACTTAAGTATTCTAAAGGTACAGAAAGCTTACCAGATCCTTTCTCTCTCTCTGATGGCTGGTTTGAAAGCCCAATGGTTGGCCCGGTGTTAGTTTTGGTGATATTTACCTCTACTAATACGTCGGGTAGTTACACAGAAGAGGAGTTGAAAGCCTACAAATCACTCGAAGCTTTCAAGTATTGTTTTAAGTTATAAAATAAAACAGGATAATGGAATTTAGTATTCAACATAAGAAAACATCAGAATACAGAGTACATTACACCTGGTGTTTACACATAATAAGAATTAAAGGCCTACAAATCTTTGGAAGGGTACAAGTAAGTACTCAATACTGCTTATAATAAGACTGGTTCATAGTCGTAGGATTAAATTCTCCTGAACTTGTGAAATTCTTTCTTGCTCGCTCTTTGTCTTTTAGGACTGTTTTTTTTCGAAAAGTTGCTCAAAACAGGATTTATCAATATTTTTCGGACGTTATAGCCAGACTTTTCTAAAAGGTTAAATATACATTCCCACGCAATACTCACCATGATACCTTGAAAAGATTTAAGCAAATTACATTAAGTTGTTTAAAGGGCAGTGTAGCAGTCATTAGATTTATTATCTTCATTTTGTTCCCATTTGATGTTATACGACCTTTGTTCAGGGAAAGTTTTGAAATCAAATTAACTGAAATTTAAAGTGAAAGAAGATACTCAATAGAACGAGTCACCCACAACATCTACCACCGCCTAGGCCTAACCACGGGGGAAATACATCCCCTAGGAAGAGTTATGACGGTATAACATAACCGTTTAACTTTTAGAATATCTTTATAGAAAAGTTATCGTACGTACCATTAGCACAAACCCTTACATCACTCCCAGGTGCAGGATCAAAGGTCTTGCGATTGATAGCCAAAGCCTCCTTCTCTCGGGGTCTTGCGAAAAACAATTAAAACTCAAAGTTGAACCTTTTTGCTATCTATTTGCACATCCAATAATGCAACTGTTTACCATGTTGGAGTTTCTTAGAAAAAGGTGAAAAAGGATGCGAATCTCTTATAAATCGAATAAAGGGACGATGTTCGCGACAGACCAGTACTTAATAACGGAGTTCGTGGGATTTTGTTGTTGTTTTTGCCCACCGCTGCCTCCGATTGGTCACGTGACAGCTCTGGTGACGTCACGATGACCGTCCCTATAATAATTATCATTAGGTAAATAATATTATACCCTTAGAGCTCCCCATCCCTCTTGAAAATTAAGAAACCACACCACTCAAATCAATGGAGAGAGAGAAAAAAAAACACTTAGAACGAATTCCACTTAATATTACATTTATACAAAGGGAAATATACAGAGAAAATATATATATAACTCAGGCCACACGAGCCTCGTCAGGAGCCTAGATCTCAGGCATGAAGGGCCCGCAGGAGGGGAAGCCCTGAGGCACGGGGGGCAGGTCCTCCTCGGTGCCCACGTGGAAGAGGGCCGCCATGCCCATCTCCGAGTGGTACATGAAGTGGCAGTGCATGATCCACCAGCCTGGAAAGGGGTCGGGAATGGGCGGTTAACTTGCTGTTGTTGGTGTGTTGTTATTTTATTGTTGTTATTTTCATTATTATTAGTGCTATGGATACTATTCTTATTATATCTAGATTATGATTACTATAAAGTTTATTGTTATCATTCTCATCATTATTCCAATCATGATCATAATCATATCATTCTTATTATTATTTTTTTATGATTTTCAATACAGTAACTTTTATCATCACCATCATCCAGCACTTTTCCCCCTTCCCTCCATCCCCTCTTCACATCCGACCCCCCCCCCCATCCTAGACCCGAGATCCCACGTACCCGGGTTGTCAGCTGTGAACCGGATAATCGTGTAGCCTCCGTTGGGCACCAGGACCGTATCCTTCAGCGGGGCATCCTGCAGCTTCCTGGTGATGCCTCCTGCTGCGTCCAAGTCCATCACGTCCTGAACAGTTGTGCCGCTGAAGGAGGAAGGGAAGGAGCGACGTCGATAAAGGGGAAGGGCGAAGGAGACAGGGATAAAGGGTGTGATGACAAAACAGAGGATTTTAAGGGGAGTTAATCCTCATTTGCAGATTGATTTAGATACTCGCACGCATTCGTACTCACCGTTCACATATGTTAACACGCACAAACGTGAACAAGTGTCATGCAAACACTTACGTGCATAAACACGCACACTATACGCACTTTCTGCATCCCTCACCCTCCCCTTCCTGGCTCTGTCTGTCTTTCCCTCTCTTCCCTCCCCTCTCTTCCCCTCCCCCCCCTCTCTCCCTCCTTTCCTCTCTTCTCTCTCATCCCCTCTCTTCCCCTCTCTCTCTCTCTCTCTCACTTCCATCCCTCTCTCCCTCTCCCATCCTCCCCCACACCCCTTCCCCACCCCAGCCCCGCCCACTACTCATCAGAATGGCTCAGCGTACGGGCCGATCACTCCCATGGCGACCACGTGGAAGTAGTAACCGTGGAGGTGGAAGGGATGGTAGCCTTGGGACACGAGCACCATCTCCACCGTGTCCCCGAGCGCCACCTCCACGACGTACGTGCACTGGCAGAAGTCGCCCTCGCAGAACGGCGACACGTCCTGGGGGAGAAAACGGACAAAACGGACGCTGATGGGATGGGAGGGTTGGTCCTCGCGTGAGGTGCGTGGAGGTCCTTCGAATTTCTCTCTTCTCCTTCGTCTTTTTTTTATCACTCCGGTAATGTTTAATCTATGTACATTGCTATTAAATGAGACTATGGCAAAGACTGTGCTGAAGAGCCTCTCATTGCAAGCGAGATTATGCATTGAGATAATTTCATATTGATGTAGAATAGGAAAAATAAAGAATAACAGACCTAACAACGCTTACATTTTAATTACAACGCTAAAATACTCTTCGAAACATAGCACGAAGTTTCCCCACGTGTTATCCAAAATTCACACTCATTAAAACGATCAGAAAACATAAATAAAAAGGAAAAAGAGAGCGGGAGAGACCAGCGGCAGCCTCCCTTCAACTCACCTGGCCGTAGAGGCAGAGTTTCGGGATGTTGACGTTGGGCTGAGAAAGGGGCGGGGCTTGAGGGAACGCGAAGGTAAGGTCGTTCACCTGTGGACTATTCCTCTGCCATTCTGGTGAAACTACAAATATAAATGAACGAGTGAATAAATGAATCAAAGAAATGCGTTTTGAATGGTATACATATTTCGATTAAATCAAGGCTAGAAGTGGGATTCCATAACAAAGACAGAAACATATAAGCGTCTACAAATAATGTTTCGTTTCGCGTCCCCTTGGCTATTTCAGCCCCAGAACTAACCGCCATTGAAAGGATAAAGCTCGTCTAAAGACAAATCTGACAAGCATGTTAAGCAGAAACATATAAGCGTCTACAAATAATAATGTTTTCTTTCGCGTCCCCTTGGCTATTTCAGCCCCAGAACTAACCGCCATTGAAAGGATAAAGCTCCTGGTTGAAGAAAAAGGAGTTGTTGACTCCGTTCATGCTGAACATGAGGTGGAACTGCTTGTCGACCTCCTCCGGAAGGACTGACGGAGTGAGGGCATCCAGGTCGACTATGTCCACCGCATTCTCAACAGGCGTCGGGAACAGAGGGTTAAGAATCTGGCGGGAGTCGAAGCCGTTAGGAAAAGGTATAGAAATTCACTGTGACATTAAGATGCATTGCTACCCGAGAATAAAAAAAAAATACCGTTTTCAGCATTAGCCTTCTTACAGGCAGCCCGTGGAATTATTCACGAATATGAAGTTGATTTATATTACTTCTATCTGCGTGCTGTACAGTCACGGTCTAAACTCTTGTCAAACATGTTTCGAATTCCGTTTCGAACATCTGCTTCATACCACACTTTTTGTATGGGATAAAACAGATTCGAAGCTTCAGTTCATTTAAAGACTGTTCTCCGTAACTGCACAAAGTACTTGAAAAGCAATCAGAACAACAGGATACATACAGTGCCAGAAGGATTAGGGTTGTATTCCACCTGTTCCGTCGGTTCAGTGTCGGGTGCGCCTTCGTAGCGTAGGACTGCCACCTGCATGCACTCCTTGGTACTGCGAGGACGGAGGAGGAGAGAAGGGAATCTGGTAAGAATCACTGCTTTGTGCTTTTGAATCAGGATATTCGGATTAAACTTCAGGAGGAGGTGGAGGCGGAAAGGACGAAAGAAAATACTTTGGGGTGGCAATATGAGGAAACTAAGGAGTAGGGGAAGAAGAGGATGAAGGAAGACGGAAAAGAAGAAAAAATAGATAGAAAAGAAGAAAAAAACACCTTTATGGTTACACATGCAAAACTAGAAGGAAAAAACAAAAAGGTTAATGACAAAAGAAATGATAACAGAAAAAAGAGGAAGAGAGACAATGAGAAAAAGGAAATAGATAAATAAACGGAGAGAGAGAAAAAACTTGCCTGCATTCAACAAGTCCGTGAACCTGAATCCAGTAGTTACCCACCGGCTGATTCGCTTCCAACACTACATCGACTCTTTCGCCTGAAACACAAACCCAACTGTAGTGCACTTATTGTCAATTTATAACGCTGATTACTTAGTGTGTTATTCTTATTGTCAATTTATCGCTATCTAATTGTGAAGCAGGATTGAATGCGTGAAAATTAGATATCATGAGAAAGGGTTAGATACTGTATAGAGGATTAGGTACTGTGGGGATGATTAGCGACTGGAGGAGGAGAGAAATAAAGAAAGGAGGGACGTGTGGTATAGTTTGCAAGGACAAGATTTTCCTGAGACAAGTAGCACTCGGGGAAACCCTCCTGCTGCCTGATAAAGGATTCACCCGATACGACGCTGCCAGAGACCCTCCTGAGATGACCTTGTGAAAGATGACCTTATTTGAGGCTCACTTCAGATGACCCTACAAGAGATTCCCCTAAGATGACCCTGCATGAGACTCACCTGAGATGATCTCCAGAACGTCGACAGTGCGAGGAACGACATCCGCTCCGTCGACAGCTATGACCGTCAGCTTGTGATTATCGACGCTGACGGCCATGGGGCAGATGTAGCTGGAGGCGCTGACGATGCGGAGGCGATGACGAAGGCCAGGAGTCACTTGCAGGACCTCAAGGGCCGTGTTCACAACCTCCCGACCCTCACTCTGGTGCCAAGGGAGGAAAAGGGTTCGTCTTAACCACTCATTCTCATGCCATTGACTCACCATTTCAACGCAACTATGGCAAACCGTATTTATTTTATCCTAATCGTTTTTAAGGATCGCTATGATAAACAAAACGACAGGATGGGCGAAGGTTATATCACAGGCCATCGCTGATTGCAGATAATATCGCCGTCTTCCCCCAACGCCTTACCTCAGCGTGCAAATCCCTGCCTTTGCCGTTCAGGAGGATCGTGTTGGCGACGCCCATGGACTTGCTGTGTTGGAAGCCAAGGAACTCGTCGTTGGTGCTCCCGTGAATCCAGTCATGCAGCATCAGCACATGGTCAGGGGAGTCGACCTCGTAGGCGCCATGCAGGCTGTCCTCCGCCTGCCGCACCACGAGGGCCCCGAACAGCCCGTCCCCGCGGTGCACGCCTGGAGGAGGAAGCCCCGCGTAAGGTTTCCTGCCTTGCCTGAGGGGGCGCGGTCTGCCGGCCTGGATTCGGTAGAATATCTGCAGATTCTCTCTCTCTCTCACTCACACATTCACTCCTTTCAATCCTTCCCACTTTCTCCCTTCTTTCCTTCTCTGTTCCCCACTCCTTTTCCCTTTTCCCCCTTCTCTCTTTTCTTCACTCCTCCTTCCTTCCTACTACCCTCCCTCCTCCTCCCTTCCTTCCCTCCCTCCCCCTTCCTTCCATCTTCCTCTCCCTCCCCCCTCCCCTCCCTCCCCCTTCCTTCCCATCTTCCCTCCATCCACCCATCCCTCCCTCCTCCCCCCTCCTCACCTGCGTGCGAGTGCCACCAGTGAGTGCCTGGCGTGGCCGCGGGGAAGTCGTAGCGGAAGGAGCCCATGATGGGGCACTGGGTGACGAAGGGCACGCCGTCGTAGTACTGATAGTCGCGCATGTGCTGTCCGTGCCAGTGGATCGTGTCCGTGTCCGAGAACTGCGTGTTGTGC